CCCCAAAACCCCAAAACCCCAAAACCCCTTGATGCTGTTTTATACTAGTTTAAAAGTTTAATTATTAAATAAATAATATTTAATAAGATATCGATATCTTAAAACTTCCGATTTTAACAGCAAATTTAATATAATTTTACAATGGGAGCTACAGTGTGTAAGTCGAAGTAGTCCATTGCCATTACACAAAATACTAAGATAATAGGTACTGCTGGATAAGTTAAGATCAATGATGATGACTGTATCGAGGCTGTATGTGTAAAGGTAGAAGAGATTACTAATAATATGAAAATGATTAAATTCAGATGTCTTTAAAATTTAGAATTCCTGGCAGGGTAATACATTTGCTTTTACAATGAAAGACCATCTGCTACCTCAGATAATCCCCCAGTATTCCCTGCAGTTTTCTCTATATGTTCTCCACCTTACGAGTTACCTTTCATTGACTTTCTTATTGAGGAGAATCATAATCCAAGGAGTATGAAGAATTTGCTGTTTTTTCAAGCCAAGGAGGAAATGAAAGTATATCTAGGTAAAAAAGGTTATGGCACAGTTGCTATTGATATAAATATGCTATAAACTCCTTTACCTTGGAATGGAGGCTCTGGAGGAATAACTTTAATTGGTGGAGGCTCAGCAGTTCAAGCATGTTGAAGTATTGCTTTGTAAATTATTAAGGAATCACCCAATATCCCTGTCACTTATATTCATAGTTCTAGAACTTGGCCCGCTCCTTTTTTTAAAGAAATGAAATTGCTAGAAAAACAATGAAATAATCTAAATACTCATTTCTTTTACACTGGAGATGAGGAACAAACTTAAATAAAAAGATAAAGAATGACTGAACTGTTTTTGAGAAAAATGGTTGCTGGCTAGAGACTTTTCTGCATTTTTGGTAGTGCTCCATTTGTTGAATGGGTTGTAAATATTATTGTTGATTGCGGTGTTTGGCCTGGATGCATAAGGTCTGATTATACAACTAGAATAGACGGAGCTTTCCAAACTAATAAAAAAGAAAAAGAAAAGACTAGTCAAATATCTCGGCCTAAATATATTACTTCCGAAATAGCAAAAGATTAATACATTTAATAATTTGGAATCGATAATATGCTTGGAAGTTTGGTTGATGAGATGATTAATTCAAAGCCAAAGTATCCAATAACTTATATGATCGACTGGTTGGAGAAAAAGAAGGATTTACTACCAGAGTTAAGCAACACTAAAGCTAAAGATCCAGATTTTTGGAGAAACTACTGGCAAACTGATTATGTAAAATGGTAATCTCCAGAAGTTAGCCCTTGGCTTTAGTCTCTTTGTAAAAAGTACTTAAAAAAAGATAAAAATATGACAGTCTATTTCCCTCTTTGTGGAAAATCAGTGGATATGCTCTGGGTTTAAAGAGAATTCGATTGTAAAGTGATAGGATCTGACTGTTCAGCTATTTGCTGTGAGGACTTCTTCATTGAAAACAGACTGCTTGGCCACAAAAATGAATAGGTTTGTACAGGAAAAAGTGGAACACCTGTTGTAAAGCATACTTGCACCGAAGTAAACATTGAGCTCTACTAAGCAGATTTCTTTGATTTGACTTCAGATATTATAGGAAAATTTGATGTGATTATTGACAGAGCAGCATTGGTAGCACTTCATCCATCTATGATTTAACCCTGGTATCTTCCCTTATTAGTTTCTCTATATACTCCTAAAATGGAGGGTCTCACATTTTTCGCTTCTGTAAGTAATGCACCATTACCAGTGGCACCTCCTCATTGCTACAAAAAGGATCAAATTGAATCAATATTAACAGAATTTTTCGGAGAAATCAAGCATATTGAAGATTATTCATATTAATTAGATATAGGAAGAGTTACTGAACCTATTTATGTACTTAAAAAACCACTACTAAAGAAGGAATGATTTTTACCCACTCTACTTCCTATTTATAATATTAATGTTTCTACTCTCAAGCTAATGAAAGATTACACTACTGTCTCTAGGAATCCAATTATTTTTGGAAAAGCATTAATAAATATCTATTCAGTGCTGTGCTTTTGAATTTTGGTATCTAATTTAGCCAATTACCATAAAATTAACTTTAAATCAAATTTGATTAATGTTGGGAGGCTTAGTATGCTATTTAAACTATTGATATCCGTAAAATTTCTTCTAACACATACTAATCGCAAAATAGTCTCCACAGAAATATTAACCATAGCAAGATTTGATCACGAAGGCAGTTCTATGTAATAGAAATTAGCTTATTGAGAAGTACTAAAGATTATGATTAAGTGAATGAATTAAATTTAGCTTTTAAGAAGATTCATATTTTAAAATCTAAATCTAATTTGAGTTAAGTAGAAAGTTAATAGTTACTTTTTTAATTTCTCTAAGAATATGCAAATATGAATTAAGGGGTTTTGGGGTTTTGGGGTTTTGGGG